TTGATTGCTATGGTATATGTAAAAGTCCCTCATTACTGGATGAGGAGATGGCTCAGTCAGTGAACGGTTGGCTTTGCATGCATGAGGACTTGAGTTTCATCCATAGATCCCACTTAAAAAGCCAGGCATGGTGGCATATGCATGTAATCCTAGCACTGGAGAGGCAAAGACAGTTGAGCTCTGGGACTCATTGTGGGTCGGCCTAACTGAATCAACAGCTACAGGTCCCAAGTGAGTAACAGACACTGTCTCAAAAGCTGAGCTTGTCCTCTGGTCTCTACACGTGCATAAGTGCTCCACCTCATCCTAGACAGACAGACAGACAGACAGACAGACAGACAGACACACACACACACACACACACACACAAGTTCCTCATCACAATGGGTAGTTAGTCCTCTCCTGGGTGTTTTGTAATGGGTAGTGCTGAGGGAGGAAGCCCTGTGAAATACACACCATGGGAAGACTCCCAAGAAAACACCGGCACTTAGGCCTGGGAAGTTCACAAACCATCAAGAAGCTTGGTTGAAATGCATGGTCTCAGGCCCCACCCTGGGAATACGTTAAACTCCACCTTTGGCTACCATCTGAGTGTGATTCAAACATATATTCAAATTTGAGAAGGGTCAACCAGCTGTTTTCTGTCAGAGGGTTAAGTATTTAAGGCCCTGAGGACCCTATGGTGTCTATCACAGAGGCACAGCTGGGCCACTGTCACTGGAAACAGAAATAGCCAGACAATGGAGGAAGTGGCCCTGACCCAGATACAACTCTATTGTGAAATCTGGTGGAGGCTCAATTTAGTCTCTGGGCTGGAGTGAAGACCCTTGGCCTCTGGAGGCCTTCCTGGGTGGAATCGTGGTTTTTAGGCTAGAGACTCGGGGCTCACCATGACCAGTGGGCTCTAGTGGGAAGCCCTCTGGCCCTTGGAATCTGGTCTTGTGGGATCTCCCTCCAGGGTTGCAAACGATACAGTCAGCCAGCATGTAGGTGATGGTGCTGTCCTGCTAGATTCCCAGTTTGCTCTTCTCTAGGGACCAAGAGGAAGGGGAAAAACCCCCTGAAGCACACGGAAGTATTCTGCTCCATCCCTTCCCGCTCGCTCCTCTCCCCCAGCTATTACCACAGCTTTGGAATCACAGAGAACTACGTGGTGTTTCTGGAACAACCTTTTAAGTTGGACATCCTCAAGATGGCCACCGCATACATGCGGGGAGTGAGCTGGGCTTCATGCATGTCTTTCCACAGGGAGGACAAGGTGAGGCCTGCCTGCATATCTACCCAAACCCAGGAGCACTGAGGGGAAGACTACCTTGCAGGACGCCACCATACAGTCTCTCTGGAGGCAGCTGCCAACATTCCAGAGAGTTCTGCTGTTGAGACAGTTTCATTAGAGTGGTTCTGACTTAGGGCAGGCCTCTACACATAGCAAACTTATAAATACAGACTGTTTGGGGAATGGGATGTTAAACTCAGGAAACCCTGGTCTCCCAAACCATCCCCAGATACACAGCCACTAAGGGAGCTGTCCTCATTCTGAGACACCCCCCCAAACCCCCACATAGCCACCACCAGCCATTAGGAAGGCCCCTTAGAGTCTCTGTTATCACTTTGCCATGTTGGGGGGATAGTGGGTGCTGGAGGCTACTTAGACATCAGGATGATACTGAGTTCCACAGATACTCAGAGAAAACATCACCAGTTAAGAGACAGGTGAATGATCTGTGTGTGTGTGTGTGTGTGTGTGTGTGTGTGTGAATGCTACATAGGCATGTGTGTACCTACATATTAATTTGATGCTGCTACTTTATTTTTGAAAAATGTCAAGTAATTCTCAGTGTCATCTATTCAAATAACACACTAGTATAGAAAGCCATACATAACGTCACCTTCCTGAGCTGGGCGTGCAGCTCAGTCCCTAGAGCTTGACTAGCCTACACAAAGTCTAGCACTCATAACACCACACAAATTGGGCATGGCGTGCATGCTTTTAATCCTAGCACTTGGGAGGTGGAGGCAAGAGGATCAGGAGTTCAAGGTCATCCTTGGCTAAATAGCAAGTTCAAGGCCAGCCTGGGCTACATGAGACCTTGTCTCAACCAACCAACCAACCAACCAACCAACCAACCAACCAATCAATCAAATCCCTTGCCCATC